TTGACATTAGAGATATTGATTGGCAACGAGGAGAAGACGAACGACTTGAACCAAATAGTTGGCCACCGGGAGGTAAATACGGAGGTAAGTTGGCAGGAACGAGATAATAATGGTGAACAGGCGTGTATTTGGATTTACCTGCAGTTTCATGAGAAAGGAAGCTGCGATGGCAGCAGTGACAAGCGATATTGGCTTGAATGTCACATTAAAAACATACGGGCCGATTATCATGAGTGCGACATTGGCTGACGCTAGGAGCACTGTTCCTTTGAATAAGGAAGTATGGTGGCATGGAGGTAGATTGTGGCAAATGCAGTACCCAGCACCCCAACCATTTGAAACATGGTGTTTTGCATACAGGGGTTGACTCGACGAAACAGATTTATTTAACGCAAGGGCTACGGGCTAACTCGATGGCAGGCAATTACAGTACGTCGTCTTCTTGTTCTGCTCGAGCTCTGTGACCACCGCCCTCGATACTGTACATATATTGCAAGAGAAACGAGACTCATATAGAGCACCCGCTTCTAGGCAGGCTGTTCTTATTGTCTGACTTTGTCGTCCTCTCTCTCTCGCCAGGATTGCTCCGAGCATGATCACTGCTTTGTCATCACTACACTGGGCCACGCTTCAGCTCGTCTCTTCTTGTAAAAACACACAAATCATTGTCACATTTGCCAATGTATGCAGTTCTTCATCCGCGACACATGCACCGCAAAGTTATTTCGTTTCCTCTTGTCACTTCGCACATCAGAAGCCGTGGACTTTACCGCTAAGTGTTGTCTCTCAAGCGCTGGGAAACAATGAAAGGGCCTTCGAACTTTGGGCACAGTTTGTTTGAAGACGACGGTGCACCTCGCTATAGCCCCATCCTGTCAGCTAAACTTTATTTCGGCGCTCGACGGTGGCGTTGGTCGTAGTACCACGTTTGTGTCTCATGAGCATGTGCAATCCTCCTACGCGCCTTCAGACGGATATTGTGACAGTGTTGAGCTTGCAACAGATCGCCCCACTTTTGCGGGATGCATGGTAAACGTATGTAGCATTTACCTGCGGGAGCGGACCGTAGAAAATGTCATAAGGGTAATTTCCTGCATTTATATTTGCCGCCGTGTTCTCTGCGCGCGCAGCTGCTTGGAGGTGATCATCCCAGTCAGTGTCACATCGTTTATGATTCTTATAGTACGGTGCGAGTCGAGCCTGAAGAGTCTGGTTTCACCGTTCCGTCAGTCCATTCGCCGGCGGATGGTATGCCGACGCGAAGTGATGTGTCACTACAGCTTGATTCAGGTAAGTGCGGAGCTCGCGACTGCGAAAGGTGGTCCACCGGTCAATCAGCTTGTCAGGAAGATCATGTCGCCATTCGAAACGCTCTCCCAGGAATCGGATGACGTACCTAGTAGCAAGCGAAGGCACGGTTGCGACCTCTACGAACTTGCAGAAGTAGTCCACAGCGAGTAGAATATAACAATTACCCGCTGGGGTCTTTGAAAAAGCACAATGTGGTTTATTCCCAACCTGTGGATAACTGTCTCTGAAGGCATTAGCGGTATAACAAGTCCACGTTGAGCTCCGGAACGTCCTTTGTGGTGTTGACAAACCACGCTACAGGCAACTTACGAACACACGCTTTCATCTACTTTCAGCCACCAAAAAAGTTCTTGTGCCTTGCGTAGGGTGGTTGGATAAACGACATGGCCTCCTTCAGGGCTGTCTTACATGGCACGTAGTACGTTTGATGTTAAGGTGTGAGAAATCACCAGAAGATGACAATCGTGGCGTTTATCGGCCCAGTAACGCAAGTATAACGTTTCATTGCGTTCTAAGACGAACTTGGTATTGCGTCCTGCATCGCCATTTGCCAATGGAGTCTATAACCGATGCAAAACTCATAGGCGCGTTCGGCCTTGGTCACGGCCTGTTGAGAAAACATGATGCATATTCATCTATTTATCTTGGAGGGCTACTGGATCGCATTACGCGATACAGCATCCGTTAGCTGCTTTTGGGCTCCACCACAGTGACGGATGTCTTGGAGTCGAACGATTCATCGGGCAAACTTGTGCTTGGGATGGTGCTTCTGGAACATCCACGCCAATGCGGAGTTGTCTGTTACTACCATGAAGTGTCGGCCAAGCTAGTAGTAGTGAAACTTTTCGTCCACACTCCATACTACAGCCAAACACTCCAGTTGATTCGAATGATAATGCCATTTGGTGTCTGATAGTTTTTGACTGGCGTTACAGATGACGTGCCCACGCCCACTTGTGTCACACTGATGTAAAACCGCCCCTAGGTCAATCTGGTTCGCATCAGTTTGGACTTCTGTAAATCAATCTTAATCAAAAAGGCAGAGCACGGGGTATGTGTAAACTTGTCTTTGAGGGTATCGAGAACGTTGTTCTGGTAAGTACTTCATTGAAAGTGAGCACCTTTTCTCAGTAAGTTCGTGATAGGAGTAGTAGTCAACGCAAAGCTCAATACAAACTTGCGCAAGTTTGACGCCAATCCTAGAAATACCCGGAGCTTTTTTGACAAAGTTTGTGCATGGTATTCGCCGACGGCGTCTATGCATTCAAGCAATAGTCGTACGACAATATGAAATATCTGATAACCGAGATAACACATTGTCGTCAACACAAACTGGCACTTCTCATGGTCAAGTTTAAAACTGGTGGTATGCAGCCTCTGCAAAATTGTGTCCAGATTTTGTAGATGTTGTTTTTCCGTTCCTGCGATGACTAGAATGTCGGCGAGATAAACGACGCAGGTGCGGTCTATCAGTGTGTGAAATACAGTGTTCATGGCACGCTGAAAGGTGCTTGTGGCCGTTTGTACACCCACCAAACTGCATCTGGTTAAACTCGTACAACGCAGATGGTGTTCGCAAGGCCGTCTTACACTTATATTCTTTCACCACATTGATCTGCCAACACCATGCTTTCAAGTCTAGAGAGGAAGAAACCTCGTATTTTGTACGGCGTCATTTGTATCGTCAATGCGTGGCAGTGTGTAGGAGTCCGGTGGAGCGTCTTTGTCCAGCCCACGGTAGTCGACACAAATTCAGAGTTTGCCGTAATTTCTATAGACTAGAGGAACATGCGCTGCCCACAGGCTGGAAGACGGGCTTCTGATGTTTGTGGCAAGTATTTGTTGCACCTGATGATCAAATACATTCCGCTCTCATTCGGCGTATCTACGCAACCGTATGGAAGCTGGAGGGTGATTGCCAGTCGTAATATGATGTTATTGCAGGATAGTTCTGGGAAACTGATTTTATTGATTGATATGTGGGATTTAACGTCCGAAAACCACCATATAATTATGAGAGACGCCGTAGTGGAGGGCTCCGGAAATTTCGACCACCTGGGGTTCTTTAACGTGCACCCAAATCTGAGCACATGGGCCTACAACAATTCCGCCTCCATCGGAAATGCAGCCGTCGAAGCCGGAAATCGAACCCGCGACCTGCGGGTCAGCAGCCGAGTACCTTAGCCACTAGGCCACCGCGGCGGGGCTGCTGGTGTAATGCTGAGCATGAAGCAGTGCTGATAGTCACAAGCAGTCAACGCTGAAAGTGTCGTGAGGGTTATTTGAATTTCGCAACTATGTATATTCATGTGTATCTCCTATGTTTCAAAACCTATTTTGAAGTGAAGCCTTGTCCACTTATTTGAAGATATTCTCCAGACACATGAGGATGCTCTTTGAAGCATGCTCACAAAGAAACAGTTGCGTGATCGCTATCCTGATAGTTGTGATTGCTTTCCACAAAACATATTAGTGGTGGACTCATTCATACCTCAATATTTTCATTGCAAAAAACAATCTTTCTCCTCCACCTACAATTATCAAGAGAAAAACCTTTCTATAAAGCGCATTTTTGTGGTACCTATTCCTATATTTCTCATCGGAGACACTTGATCACTTGGTGTATGAGCTGAGTGAATTTTGTGACTTCGCTAATTCATTTGTCAACATCCACCCGCTTTAGTGAGCACCAATACATAGGTAAAAAATAACCTAGTTATATGGGCTTGAGAACCACTGTATATGTGATGCTCATTACGCAGGTATATTTAGTAAATTCTTCAAAACGAACGTGTGCCATGTGGAAAGCTCCAAATTTTTTTAGGTTTTGCTGGCCTTCCGAAACCTCATACGTTAACATTTTGTATCGACGAGCTAATTATCTTCCCTTTAAAAGCCGTTAGCGGAGAACTTTACCTTACGATAGCATTAACACAGCGTGAATGAGCTTTATTCTCGTCAGTCGATTGCATCTTAGGCATGCTATGATATGTAGATGACTTGGTACATATATTGTATTAAATTTCCATTTGTAATATTTACTGTCCCTTTAAGCTGCAAAAGATATTTCTTGCATAGTGGTGCAAAACGTCATAATTGATGGCATCGTTCATGTTATTATTAGTATAAATATTCAAAATGCTAAGCGCCACAGCATTTTCGCATAGTGAAGCACATACCTTATTAAAACCTATGTAAATTTGCGGTCTAAAAGTAGGCCATAATTTAATACTGTCTCTTCTAACTTGCACTTTACTATAAGCAAGAAAATTTAGAAATATGGTACTATAAAGGAAAGGCATCTCTTTGGGAAAAAATAATATATTTATGCAGACTTCAGGTTTGCCGTTACATCTGCGAAGAAATTCCAGCTTTAAAATGTACAGATTGAACAGGAGTCTTCCAAAGAGTGCCGATTGCCACGCAGATGACTACTTCGACAGCTATTCGAAGAGACCGTGGCATCGGACTCTGCGGCACAGATTCTTACTCCTACAGTGCAAGCATTTCAGAATTGACATGGAAATGCAACCAAAAAATAAGAGTTTACAAAATCATCTTTTGTTACAAGCGGATGTACTATGGGCCAGGATAGCCTTGGAGTTTTCCATACTGCAGCAATGAGTCAAAGTGGGTTACAAAAATTGTGCGGGAAACAGCTACAGTTTTGAATATAAGCATTTGCTTACCTGTATTTCGATAGTACCAGCGGATACTATGTTCTCCAGGGTCGTTGCCACATACAGCACATCCTGGGCACCGAGGTTATCACTGTCCGCAGTGAGCTCTCGGAGGCGTTCAGCAGTAGGAGCGATGGTCGTGTTGGTGACCATTGCCTGGTTTTGAAATAGATGGTGATTCCACGAATTTCGAAAATATCCTCATTAAAATAATTGCCTCTTTGTCATTGTCTCCGACACTGTAGGAACCTATTGCCTAGTTGCATCTGTTAGGAAAGATTATTAAAAGAACACATAAATATTTAGAATGAGTATATCTTCAGTTATTTGACGTATGCATGTGGGAGGTAGTGGCCAGATACTGCACCAGGGTGGCGAATTCTTCTCTGGTGAGGGAGTGCGTTCCCGGCGGTGGTTGCCGGTGAGGCTACCCCCCAGGCCTTGTAATGCAGTTCCATCACCACGCGGATTTTTTTTATCCGGTTGGGAGCTGCGCGGCACAGGGATTTGAACCACGAACCTTTTGCATCAAGGCGGATGCTCTTACAACTGCGCCATCGCTGCTTCTCTGGAAATCCAGTTAGTTACCCCAGCCGTTAAGGGTAACTAACTGGATTCCCAGAGAAGGAAAGCGGGTTAGGGGGAGACAGAAGGTTAGGTGGGCAGATGAGATTAAGAAGTTTGCGGGTATAAATTGGCAGCAGCAAGCACAGGACCTGGTTAACTGGCGGAACATGGGAGAGGCCTTTGTCCTGCAGTGGACGTAGTCAGGATTATGATGATGATGATGATAATATCTTCAGTAATCACACCACAAATTCATGTAACAATTTACACATTACAAAAATTCTGTGTGTAATTAAAATTCAGAATAAGGTAAATACTTATATATTCGGCTTTTAGGTTACGTGACACTATATGCATCTGGTCAAACAAAATTTATTAGGCCTAGAACAAATAGTTTAGGTAGCAAGTAAGTTGATTTTTGAGAGTTCTTAACTGCGTGATGAATTCAGAATTTCAAAAAAATAATAAATGAACATTTCAACCGAACAGCATGGAGTGGTGAAGTGATACGACCACAACTTGCCATAGAGAGGTTGCGGAGGTCTACGGTTGTTTGAGATGGAGTGCGCTCACATATTCCTTGGATATTCCCCCAGTGGGCCCCTGTCGTGAAGTTGCCTTCACAGCGCCGTACGACGGGTTGACCATCACCTATAAAAATATATGAAAGTGAACTCTTACATCAGTGGCTCCAAGTCATCTCAGCTGGAGGGCAAGCGTCATGATATTTTGCCCCACAAGATCCGGTACAGTGAATTTCAAAATAAATTTGCAAGCGCGAAAAAGATTGAACATTTCGAAACATTTTGCGCTAGTAAAATTATCTTAATCATGAACCAACTTGCCCAAGCAGCCGTTGCAGTAAAGATGGTGGAAGCGGGGAGGGGGCATGGGTAAAGTTGGAACGACATGTCACTTAACTTCACCATTAATCATCGGGTTTCAGAACGCATATCGATGGTGATTTCCACTGTGACCTAAAACTGCACTCTGGCTTTGAAACATTCACTTTACATATTGAAGTTATGTTCAAACTCGTAGTGACCACATTGGGTGCATGACGAAAAAAAATGCTTCAAACCAGTTTTGTCACGGTAGCTTACTCGAATGAAATGTTAATATTTTGAATAGGTGAGAAAATAAACTGAGTTCTGTGCTTAGTACAGTCGCAAATATTCATTTCTTGCGAAGACACGGACAGCAACCGGCCAGTTGGCCGCGTGTTTGGTAACCCTGTCTTATATGAACACTTTCTGTGATTGTGAAATGATAAGAATAGTGTGTTTTCAAGGTTCCCGTGCACTTCAGACAACTACCCGGATATATTGCTGACATCATGGTGACAATTATAAACAAATAGGTAAAAGTCAGCGTAACCGGTAGACATCGTGAGCAGAAATCTGTTTCTGTCCACGGCAAGATGTTATCCTTTCATCCACATTTGTTTGTTAACATGTAGCTTACGATTCAGTCTAATAATTTCCCCTATACATTCGTTGGCATTATTCTCTGTTAGATCTCATTATTATACATATATTATCAGCCTGACTATGCCAACTGTATAGGCCTGTTGGGCAACAAACGTCTCCCTTTTTGGCCAATCAACCTGGTCCTCTGCTTTCTCTTGTTAATGTAATCGGTCCATCTAATTTTCTGTCTCCCACTTAAGCGTTTGCCTTCTCTTGAAAATTAGCCAGTTACCTTTAGTGACCACCGATTATTTTGCCTCCTTGTCACGAGCCTTGCCCATGGTAATTTCTTTTTCTTGATTTTAAATATGATATTCCTAACGCTCGTTTTAATCTGATCGACTCTGCTCTCTTCCAAGCTCTTAAGGTTACACCTATCAATTTCTTCTCCGTTGCTCGCTGCTTCGTCCTCAATATGAGCTGAACCCACTTTGTAAGCCTCCAGGTTTCTGCTCCGTAGGTAAGTACCGGCAAGATTTCTCTCTTATGTACCTTCGTCTAGAGGGATAATGGTAGACTACCATTCATGACTTAGGAATGCTTGCTGAATTTGTTTCACGCCTATCAGAATATTGTAGTTATTTCAGTTTCATAGTTCGGATCCGTAGTTACTACCTGTCCTAAGTAGATGTATTTCATTTTACCTTTTAGTGTCTCGTGGTCTATACGCAAAGCGTTGCTTTCTGTCAAGTATTTACACATTACTTTCGTTTTATTGATAATATTTTCAAACCTACTCTCCTGCTTTCCGTGTACCTTTGAGTAATCATGATTGTAACCTGATCCTTGAGTTACTCATCAACGCAATGTCATCTGCGAATCGCAGGTCAATAAAATATTCGCCATTACCTGTTATCATTACGTCTCCCAAATCTAGGACCCTGAAAACCTTCAGTGAACATGTGGTGAATGCTATTCGACAGATCGTGCCTCCCTGCCTTATACCCTTTTATGTAGCGATTTTGTTGCTTTCTTTATAGAGACTTATGGTGACCGTAGATCCACTGTAAATGTTTTTCAGTAAGCTTATATATGCTTCGTTGATGCCCTGATTTCATAGACTCTACATGACTGCTGATATCTTGACCTAATCAAATGCCTTCCAGTAATCTCTAAAGGCTGTGCATACGAGTTGCTTTTATTCCGCGCATATGTCCATGACCTCATTGATAGTATGTGTGCCAGAAAAAACCGTGCTCATGCAGCAATCCAGAAGTGTTTTCGCCTTGGCAGAATAGTTGGTCAACTGAAACACCTTCTCTCCAGGCTTGAGAAATTATTTACAATTCACTGTTCTGCTACAATTTGAACTACTGCGTAGCGGCCTGGGGCACGACGACATTTTCTAACATTCAAAAATACATAAGATTCAAGAAGCGTTGATTAGGTTACTTACCATGTACTTTTTGGAGGAGGAGAATAAAACTTTATTATAAAAACCAGCAGGTTTAGGTGGCCCAGCCTATGCCTCTCCTGACTTTTTAAAGACATCTATCACCATTCATCAGCTGGATCGCAGTACTCCAAGTGTCCGCTTTAAATTCGAAACAAAAGAGAATATAAAATGCTTGAGATTTTGAGTGCCAATAAATTATGCAGTTATGCGACAATAAAAGAGGAGACGAGGATGGTACCGGCCACGCGTTTAAACTCTTCAGTGCAACGCTTGTTCCATGGCTCACCTTCGCATGGTAATAGATACACATTAACTAATCTTGATGTCTTTTGTTGTATATAAAGCAAGTTACGCTTGAAATTTGTAAACGCTAAAGGTTATGGATATGTGTATTTTAGTTTTTTTCACTTGTTGGTCTTTTCATTAGTCGGTTGTTGAAATACATGTTTCCAAGTGACTTTGCGTTTTCAAAATCATGTGGCTTTTTTTCTTCTGCATCTGTTTTGAAATAATTTTCTAATTGTAACTGTTACTGTGATGCCGTGAGCTCTCGCTATGAGGTAAGCGGGCTTGTCAAGCTGTCAGAAGACAGCTTTCATTTCCCGCTCCTCTGTGTCTTAGAAATAGCAGAAAAACGTTGATTAATCGATTATGGTCTATTGTTGAGCAGCCTGCATGAAATCCTGCTAGGTTCTTAGATTGGTTCAACAATAATACCTCCTTCATTCTAATAATAATGGTGTTTGAAAATAGCTCGGAAACAACGCAAAGTAAAGTGATCAGCCTGTGGCGTTCTCAGTTCTACATATCTCTTTCCCTTCAAGTAAGACGATGGTAGCAGTCTTCAAACAATCTGGTAACTTTCCCGTCATAAGGCATTTTGTATAGAGGGTGGCCAGTTTTTCTAACATGCGCTCTTCACCGTCTTTCCACAAGTTTGGCGTCAACACATTCTCACCAGTGGATTTTCCTCCTTGCCTACCTTCCATGGCTTTCTTTAGTTTTCCTGTCATTTCTGGTGGCACGTCAGATTCCCATTGTCTGCAAGTGCGTGTTAACTTATCATATTCGCTGTCTCGGCTGCTGTACAGGCCTTTCTAGAACCATTATGCTACTTCTACTACTACATCTACATTGAGTGTGACCTTGCCTTTGTGGATCGAAACTCCCTCATCCAAGTCTTGCCCAAGCACAGTTTTGCCTTCACTGTTTTGAGGCTTTCTTCGTTCTTTATAGCATGCTCTATTCTTCACACGCTACGCCTCCTCTCGGCTACATCACGCGTATTGATAAACTTTCTTGCAGAGTGGAGTAATGGCATTTATGTTAGAAATGCCGAGAAAAGGCACTGATGGCGTGGAGAGCACCTAATAATTTAGAAATCTCGAAGACCTTCTACAAAAAATTGTCCAACAATAAGTAGAGGTGGAAATGTCCTAATGGCAAAATAAAACCGAAGTAGACCTAATTGAGTGTGCACACCCAGGCATTGTACAAGATCTGGAAGAAGTTGGCAAAGTACAATTTCATTACCAGAGAATGTCTGTAATTCCCCTATACTTGAGCAACGAATGGCAGAAACTCATACGCAAAAAGTCAATAAGCTAGTGCTGTGAGGAAAAATGTAAGAATTCAAAGTTTCACTTCATATTAGATCCGCCGATCTATCCCGGGAACTGAAGTTTCCCAAACTCTACTATGGGGTAGGGAGCCGTAGAGGTCGATACCCACGCGGTCAAATGGGCGAGCCAAGCAAGGCAGTGACTCTAACATGCCAGAAAGGTGTCGCGGCGGTGTCTTGTTTTATTGGCATGTAGTGCAAGACTCAACATATTTCTGCACAAAGCGATACATTCCTCACCAGTATATCGCTGACGCAGCCTTTCGTAGGTATTCAGTTCAACGGCGTGAGCCATTAAGCGATATGCATGAAAATTCATGCAGATCTCAGAGCGATTATGACAAGAGACCGCAAGGAGCCACTTTCGACCACCTGGCATGTGGTTACGCCGGTACAGATTGTTGTCTGACACAGAACAGTGGGCTGCGTGACGGCGTTTCGCTCTCATGGAAGGGACAGCCAATGGATCGGTAAGGTAGTCGAGTGACGTGGCAAGGTGTGGATCTTTAAGGTACTCCGAAAGCATGTCAGTAGTGTCTAGTGGTGACATGGTGTTAACAAGGGCGACATACAAGCGATATCCGGTGTTACTGGTGAGCTGGACAGTGCATCGGCACATGACTTGCTTGTGACTGGAGCAATATACGACACGAATATCGCATTCTTACAATCAAAGTGCCCAACGACCCAGCCGTCTCGACAGGTCTTTCAAGGTAAAAAGCCAACAAAGAGCGTGGTGGGCTGTCCCCATGTTAAAAATACAGCCATAAAGGTACGGGCGAAACTTCATCAACGCCGAATTTTTCGTCAAACACTCTTTCTCTGTGAGTGAGTAACTTAATGCAGCTTTTTTGGGAGTATAAGCGACTACGTATTCCGCTTGGGTGCCTTACTGTTGTGCTGTCTTTGACCAGAAGTATATCAAGACCAACGCCACTTGCATCGGTGTGAATTTCTGTGTGAGAAGTGCGGTCATAATGACGAAGCACAGGTGGGGAGGTTAACAGGCAGCGCTGATAGTGAAATGCGTCGTCACATGCAGGTCATCATATGGTTATATTTTTGCTGGTGGCAAGCAGAATCGTCAGAGGTGCGATTATGGACGCGAAGTTTCGCACAAAGCGACAAAAGTATGAGCAGTGACAAACAACATTTCTGAGGGCTT